CTAAATATAAACCCAAAAACTACACAGATCATAAAAGAAAAATTCGGATCAATGCTAGAGGCCCTAACACACAGCATAAACAGAACACAAACCATAACTAACAATACACAAACACCAGAAGATAAGCTAGGTAACCGAGATCTTCTAAAAATTAAACGCGCTTATGCTCATCAAACGAGTTCAGCAAAGGAGTAAAAAGGGAACCTACAGACTGGGAAAAAATTTTTGGCTATGAAATATGCGACAAAGGTCTAATATTTAAAATCTACAGGAAAATCCAACAACTCTACAGTAAAAAGACGAATAATCCAATTAAAAAATGGGCAAAGGAAATGAAAAGACACTTCACCAAAGACATTCAAGCGGGTAACATACACGAGGAAATGCTCGTGATCAATAGCGATTAGAGAAATGCAAATCAAAACCACAGTGAGGTACCATCTCACCCCAACAAGATGGCACTAATCCAAAAACCACAAAATAACAAATGTTGGAGAGGTTGCAGGGAGACTGGAACTCTTATGTACTGCTAGTGGGAATGCAAAATGGTACAACCATTTTGGAAAACAATATGGCACTTCCTTAAAAAGTTAGGATCCGGCAATCCCACTCCTAGGAATATGATCTAGAGAAATAATAGCCGTCACACAAATAACACATATGCACACCCATGTTCACTGCAGCATTGTTCACAACAGCAGAAAGATGGAAACAATCTAGGTGCCCATCAACAGATGAATGGATAAAGAAACTATGGTACCTACACATAATGGAATACTACCCAAAGATAAAGAATAATGGTGAGTCTGTGAAGCATCTCACAACATGGACGAATCTGGAGGACATTATGATGAGTGAAATAAGTCAACCATAGAAGGAAAAATATTGTATGAGACCACTACTATAAAAACTCCTGAAAATATTTCCACAAAAAAAGAAACAATCTTTGAAGGTTACAAGGGACTGGAAGGGTGGGGAGGGAAAAACACTAAACAGACAAGTGGTAACTTTGGTGAAGGGTAAGACAGTACACAGTACTGGGGAAGCCAGCGCAACTTGTACAAGGAAAGGTCATGGAGGTGCTACAGACACATTCAAACTCCCTGAGGGACCAAATAACTGGGCTGAGGGCTGTGGGGACCATGGTCTCGGGGAACATATAGCTCAAACGGCAAAACATAGTTTACAAAGAAAACGTTCTACATTCTACTTTGGTGAGTAGCGTATGGGGTCTTAAAAGCTTGTGAGCGGCCATCTAAGATACTCCACTCGTCTCACCCTGTCTGGAGCTTAGTAATGAAGTCACTCCTGAGGTTCATCCTTCAGCCAAAGATTAGACAGGCCCATAAAACAAAACAAGACTAAATGAGCACACCAGCCTAGGGGCAATGACAAAAAGGCAGGAGAGGACAGGAAAGTTGGTAACAGGGAAACCGAAGTCGAGAAGAGGAGAGTGTTGACATGTACTGGGGTTGGCAACCAATGTCACAAAACCATACGTATATTAATTGTTTAATGAGAAACTAGCTTGCTCTGTAAACCTTCATCTAAAGTACAACTTAAAAAAAAAGGAATGAGAGAGAAGGAGAAAAACAAAGCACTGTATGTTTGACAGAAACTACTTCACAGCTTTCCACTAGTTCTGTTCACACCCTAGTTCTACACATCAGATAAATTACTCTCTTTAAGGCCTGTACTCTCCTTATAACCTATCCAAAACTGGACTGAGTTCTTCTGTGAATACCACTATTAGGTCAGTGGAGAGTGAACTGAAAAAAAGGAAACTAAAAATAATACAGGGAAAATCTTACATTGTATTTTAATTGAGAAAGTCAGAAATAATCAGCTTTAGACCACTATTACTTCTTTTCCAGTAACTGTCATACTTGCTGGCCCCTGATATAAAATCCACTCTCCTTGATAATGTTTCAGTGGAAAGTGAGGGTGTTTGACAACACAACATATTTTAAAAGAGCCTAACAAATGTACATCACTTTCTACTTTGAAGACTAACATTAATCATATCTAAAGAACAGGTACAGACTCATAGACTATTTTTGTGTAATACTACCACTTAATATAGTAACATTTAGACAGTAACTTAAAATATGACAATATTGACAAAGAACACTCACATATTTTGATGTTAAACTTGCAGCGCTTATATTAAAAAAGGTTGCACTGGACTCAGCAGCTACTGCTTTAGCCTTTAAAAATTACAAGAGCAAATACTTCATTAGTTCAATATCTTGCTTTAAAGATAACCACATCTGATGCATTCAAGTACTAGAAAAGATTCTCCAAAAAACGTTAAGAAATAGCATTAATTCCCAATATACAGCAATTGATATGTTTCCTTCTCAGCAATGAGGAAAGGTTCTAGGAAAAGCTGGGCTTCTTTTCAGTCTCTACTGTTTTCTAAGAAAGGGTAGATAAGAACAGGTTAAAAACAAGAGGGTGCTATTCTCTTTCCAGTTAAAGAAAGATAAACAGCTAAGGGGAAAAGTTATTTTTTTCCCTGTTTATTTTTTCCTTTAGAAAAGCTATGCAGGAGAAAATTATTCACAGCCTATACTGGGAAAAAAAAAAAAATTCTTGGCAAAAGGATACTGAAAAAAAAAAAATCTGTGTCATGCTCTATATAGCATGGTAAGCTCTCTGAAGTTAAAAATGTCATTATTTAACTTAGGAAAATAATGAAAATTACACTGTTAAATTTAACCAACCTAAAGCACACTACTGAGGAAAACAAATGGCTTCCTACCAAGTTTATCTTAATAGAAAACTAGTTTAAAAACGTAAAAGTATATTATAGAAAAAGTCATAAATAATAGATTCAGAGATAAGTTATAGATTACATTTTTCATATTATTATCCCTACAATCTCAATAGAATACTCAAACTTGAAAAGAATTCTTACCAGCATAGTTTTTCCATTTCCAGGTGGACCAAAGAGTAACAATCCTCTGGCAGGAGCTCTAAGCCCTGTGAACAACTTAAAAACATATACCTTAGTTCACAACTATAATTCTGGAGACAATTTTTTCAGACTTTTTAAGTATTATCATCTAAAAAGCACCGTTTTTTTTTTTTTTCTTTTAAGTAACATCCTTCCAGAAAGAGCTGACCGTGTATGTCTTCAAAGTGGCTCATGTTTAAGAGACTTTTGAGAGTAATTTTGACTCCAGGTAGTTTCTACGTAGCACACTGACTTTAGTGTCCAAGATGCAACTTCACTAGATATCTGAGTTAGTGATGTAGCCTATAAGCAGGAGGGACATTCATATTGGCTCACTGAGTTTGGACGGACTAAGAAAGAGGGGAATAGTTCAGGATGGACTAACTACTGTTATCGTTTTCCTTTTAAATACAGTTGGAATGGCCTGAAGAAGGTGAAGCTGGAGTTTACATTGGCTCAGGCCATGCAGCAGTGCTTTATATGTGCTCTGTGGTCACGCATTTGTTTGAATTGGAATAGAATACAGTATGTTGGTAGTTTGCAGTTGTGTTACTGTTCATTTGTTCACCAAAGTTTAACCTGTATTAAATTTTGGCTAGAATACAGGAAGTTCAGTGCATTTACCAACTTCTAGTGGCACTGCTTTTTAAAATGATTTTAAAGGTAAAATTGACTTTTATTTGAAAACTGTCTTCAGGTACTGGAGGGGGGTCTTAATAATATTTGTATTAAATAAGATTCAGTGTATCTCTTTGGGGGAGAAATTTAAATTGAAAATAGTTTAAAAAAAAAAAGCTGCCCAGAGCTTTAAAGAGAACACATAATCAAAATATTAGTTTAATGATTAAAATCAGGAGAAAACAAAATGAAACAAAACAAAATTCTCAGTGATCAAAATAAAAGCAGACTGGTTAAACAAGACAGATTTTTCTCTATTTCTTTTAGAAAGTGCACTAAAATAACAGTAAATGAATAAAAAAATAAATACTCAAAGCACAAAGAATAAAGGGAAGAAAACAGAGAATACAATAAATTTTTCAAAGATGGTGAATTGATAAAGGGGTGGTAATTTATTTAGCAGAGCTGACAAAGCTAAAATTCAGTGCCTGCTTGTGAAAGGACACCTGAATACAAAAAGCAAGCTAATGTGAACCAAAAAACCCTGGAAAAGCTTGGCAGGTCTCTAGAGGCAACGAGTACCACAGAAAACAGCAGTAAGGCAGGTAGCCAAAAACAGAGGTATTGACTGCAAGTTTGTATGAGGAGCAATTGAGCCCACGTTTCTCCCTACCATTAAAAGCAGCCAGGCAAGTACTCCTCTACCACAACCAAGGGAGACAGTTGTTTTAATCTCTAGAGAAATTAAACCAGAATCTCTAGACTCAGAGGTACCAGGCATAGTAGGAATTAAGGGGAAGCACTAGATTGAAAATAAAGGGATTAAGTAAAGGTGTTTGTACTTTTAAGAGCAATCATATGAAATAGCTGATATTCAATTATTGCTTACCTTTAAAAACAATAGTTTCATATAGTTCAACATAATAGAAACTAAGTCCCCTTTTCTCACCCAGTTTCGAGAACACTGATAGTCAAGTCCATCAGTTCATGCCATACCCTAATTCTCAGTGTAGCCGAAAAAATGCCCCAATTACCATCCAACCAACCACTCAGGCTCCTTATTGTATATAATTAGGAATAAAGCTGATTTTTGCATAATGGAGACACTTTATGGGATATGTCTGACCCATTTATAGCCTTACCAAAACCCATTTTATGGGCCTATTGTGAAAAGCTGAGCTACACGGTCATACTTCCTCTCTTGGGTCCTGAGGCCAGGTTATTAAATGTTGTGTGAAGTAAGCGGCAACTAAAATTTTCACCTACGTATTCCAGTTCTTTATTGTTCACTGTGACTACCACAGAAATCCACCTAAATGCAAATTCATATGCAGTTTGACCTCATTTCCACTTTATTTTTTTTTCCTTTTTTTTAATTGCACTTTAGATAAAGGTTTACAGAACAAACAGCTTATTAAATAGTTAGTACACATATTGTTTTATGACATTGGTTAACAACCCCACGACATGTCAACACTCTCCTTTCTCGACCTTGGATTCCCTATTATCAGCTTTCCTGTCCCCTCCTGTCTTCCAGTCCTTGTTCCTGGGCTGTTGTGCCCCATTAGTCTCGTTTTGTTTCATGGGGCCGTCCAATCTTCGGGTGAAGGGTGAACCTCGGGAGTGACTTCATTACTGAGCTAAAAGGGTGTCCAGGGGCCATACTCTTGGGGCTTCTTCAGTCTCTGTCAGTCCAGTAAGTCTGGTCTTTTTTTGTGAATTAGAATTTTGTTCTACATTTTTCTCTAGCTCTGTCTGGGACCCTCTGTTGTGATCCCTGTCAGAGCAGTCAGTGGTGGTAGCTGGGCACCATCTAGTTGTACTGGACTCAGTCTGGTGGAGGCCGTGGTAGTTGTAGTCCTTTAGACTAATCTTTCCCTTGTATATCTTGTTTTCTTCATTCTCCCATGCTCTCGAAGGGGTGAGACCAGTAGAGTATCTTAGATGGCTGCTCACAGGCTTTTAAGACCCCAGACACTACTCACCAAGGTAGAATGTAGAACATTTTCTTTATAAACTATGTTATGCCAATTGAGCTAGATGTTCCCTGAGACCATGGTCCCCACATCCCTCAGCCCAGCAATTTGGTCCCTCAGAGAGGTTGGATGTGTCTATCGAGCTTCCATGACTGCCTTGTACATCACTTTCCACTTTAGATGTGTCTTCTGAAAACATGCGTAAAGCAAAGGCTGAATGTTTTTTCTAACATAGTCCAAATATTTTCTTACTAGTATTTTCTACTTTTCAACATATATTTTCTACTCTAAAAACTGTGGCTCTTAAATACTAAAACCCACACTAAAGAATTAGGTAGCAGCTATAATATTAAGGTGGCAGTTCTAATCTTAGGAATTATTTTTATTTCATTTCTTAAGTCTACCACTTAACAATAATCTTAAGTAAGTCATTTTAACTCTTAGGACCAGTTCCTTTATCAACAAATTGATTAGATGATTGCTAAGATATTTTTCAGGTCTACAATTCTAAGAATCGTCTTTCGACAAGCACTTCTGTCAATACTCAGTCTACTGCATACTGTAATACTCACATAACTCCAGTAAAAAGTTAGTCCAATATACAAAGCTACAATATGAGCCCCAAAGTGTGGCCTGAGGTGGTACATGAGATAAATTTGGTTGATATAAGGACACATGTTTTCTACTTTAACAACTCTCTAATTCTTTTATTGTGTATTAACAAAAATTTAACTAGCATATCAAACCAGTGATTACATATATATCACTGCTTAGAATGAGTAAGAAGTAAAAGTATACTTAAAAAATATTCAGTAAGTTACAGTATAGCTGATACTCAAAAGATTGTGAAGGTAGTATGTGATTAGTTTAACTGAATGTTCAAGAATAACTGACCCAGAAGTGGGCCCTCAGATTTATTTTTTTGAACATTATATGAACAGCACCAAATAAATATTCTGTGAATTGTAAAAATCCTAAACAGTGCTAAGTATGAAAAACCAAACGTTTATTGTAACTTCATTAGTGAGTATAGAAATATGAGGTAGGTTAGGTCTTTATCATCACTTACTGGCTTTATTTTTACCTGCTTTGATGACTTAATACCCTTGAAAATAATTCTTTAAAAAATTTTTTTCAAACTTACACATAAACAATTAGTTTATCTTAATTTCTCTCAAATACGATTTCTGTCTCTTAATTTAAAATCCATCTTACCTTGATATACAAATTATTTTATGTAACCCGCTTTTTCTAGAAGCTCCTGGGTGGCGCAAACAGTTAAGCACTCAACTACTAGCCAGAAGGTTGGCAGTTCGAACCCACCCAGAGGCTTATCAGGAGATCTGCTTCTGAAAGGTCACAGCCTTGAAAACCCTCTTAGCACACTTCTACTCTGCACACATGGGGTCACCATAAGTCGAAATCGACTAGAAGGCAACTAACAACAACTCACTTCTTCTATAAAATGTTAACAAAGGACTGGGAATTAGGAACTTTTATATTCATTCTCCTCTCCTATACTAACTGGCTAACATCAATTGCCAATGTTTTGTCTTTTTTTTTTAATTAATTATACTGTTATTTTATATGAATTAAACATTCTAGCATAGGTCAAATATTTCCTTACTAATACTCTGGATTCAGTAAAGAGTGATGTTATAGGAAAATGGTAATACAAAGTCCTTACCTCAGGCCTCAGAGAAGGAAGAATAACAATTTCTTGTAATGCTTGTTTTGCCAACTCTTGCCCAGCTATATCATCAAATTTAACAGCTGTTCCACTAGGAAACAGAACCTCAGTTAGCTCCACAAGAGAAATGTTTCATTTATTACAATATGAAGTCAATTAATTTTAAGCCCTATAAGGTATGGAAGCCGGTGGCGCAGTGGTTAAGAGCTCGGCTGCTAACCAAAAGATCAGCAGTTTGAATCCACCAGCTGCTCCTTGGAAACTTTATGAAGCAGTTCTACTCTGTCCTATAGAGTCACTATAAGTCAGAATCGACTCGATAGCAATAGTTTTGTTTTTTTTTTTAAATAAACTGTAGCCATTTTTATGTTAACTAATTTAATTGTGAAACTGTAGTTAAACACGTAAAGCATTTACATTAATTGAAAGCGATCATAAAAATTATGTAACTCACACACAGTATTTAGTATCTATTTCACTCTTGAAATATTTTATAAATAAATTAAAAAATAAAAACAGTGAAATAAAACACTCCGGATGGCAGAACTTACTTGTCTACAATTTCATTCATTATAAGGTTAGCAAGGTTGCTATCCACATTCCTAAAATTCTTCAAGTCTTTCTTTTTCTGACCAGCAGTTGGAGGAGTAGAAGAAGGTTTACTTGTTCTGTTTGTTTTTGGAGTACCCTTAAAAACATAAGATTTTATTGTTAACACAGCTAATACTTATACTTTTCTCAAGGAAATTATCCTTAAAATTCACAGAATTTAAGTTTTAAAAATAGGTAAAATGTTACTGAATTCAAAATACACAATTTTACCTCAAGTAAAATTGTATTCACTATAGAGTTATATTTAGCATTAGGTGGTTTTATTAAGGATTTTATCCAGAGAGATTTAATTACTATAAAAAACATTCTAAGATAAGGCAATCATATCATTTTGATCCTTAAAAGAACTGTAACAAAACTCTAGGAATGTTTAATGTTATAAAATATTTAAATAGATTTAAGTGATAAAAATAACAAATTCAAAATGAAATGTATAACATTATATTAAACAGACCCTGGGTAAGCAAACTTAAGATAAAAAAGCCTCATTAGTTTCTAAATGAAGTCAAAATAAGATTGGTTTTTAATAGCAAGTTATCCCTGTGCATTTAAAAAAAAAATTTAAATTTTCAGAAATTTATCTGTTCTCTAAAGTAATGTAATATACCTGCAATCAACTTAAGCAGAATACCTTATGAATTGCAGTGGCAGGACCAGGCCCTTGTCTCACTCCAGAAACCGTGGCTAACCCGCTGCAACTAGGTGCTCTGTGGTGGCCTGAAAGACTTGTGGATCCAGTTTTTGTAACAGTTTTTGAGCGAGGCAGTGAATTACTAGGGTGTGTTAAGGGATCTTTTCTTTTTGGAACAGCTCCACTTTCTATCAAGGAAAAAGGAAAATCATCATTGACAGAAAATTGGGCAAAACATTATCTATGTCACTGAATTGTACACGTAGAAACTGTTAAATTGATGTATGTTCTGCTGTGTATACTGTCAACAATTTAAAAAAAGCTTAAAAACATAATAATAAAGACCAGTACAAATTTTCAAGAAAGTCTAATAAAACTGAAACTAAGCTAATAATATATTTTTTAGTACGGAAATATTTCAAAATGAGATTTCAATCAGAATATATACCAATCAGAGTGTTCACAGGAATAGGATTACAATTATCCAGATTTTCCCTTTTTCAAAGATTATTCTAACTTTCCTACAAGGAACTTGCATTTTAATAAAAAACATCATTCGTAGGGATAGGAAGAGAATATAAAATTTTATCAAGCAAATAAAGCTGCTAAATACTTGAGAAAGAAAATGTAATAAAGGTACTGGGAATATCCATGCACTAACGTGGTTCCAAACTTCTAAGACTATAAAATACTATGAAAATTAACAGCCTTTACTCAACAAAACAGTTTTTTGAATTAACTTTCAACTGAAAGAGTATCAACATGTGTTTAAATACAGAACATTTTATGTGATGTATGTATGCAAACAAATATTTACAGAACAACTCTAACTAAATTTAAAAGGTTATGTGACCTACAATCTTGTACATAAACTAAAGACTGGTTTTAAATGTTTATATATTAGTATTCTTAAATAATACTTCTACATAATATATAACAAGTATCAGTTTTTATTAATGACAATGCTCACCGTGAAGACAAATGTTTAATCAGTTAGCAAAAATGACGGTAGACAAAAGAAAAGACAAAAGCCTCATTTTGGCTTTTGTCATCAAATCCCTTAATATAGCATAAGGAAACATCTAAGGAGTCTGAACTGGTGTAGGAAATCAGCTTATTTAGAGAACTAAACAGTTTATTTTAGATAAATTGTTATGAAATCAGAAACTGTGAATAAAATCCAATTAAAAAAAAAAAAAAACCACATTCAGGATACCCTAAAATGAGAATGAGTCATGTGCCACATAATGTCTGCTCAGGCAACATCCAACCACATAAACATCCATGGACCTACAGGTGGTAAAAGAATTCAGAATTACTGTGAAGTGCATCATGGCTCCCAAACGCAGCAAAACCACTGCTAATGATAGCAGCAGCAGCAAGAGGCAAAGGAGAAGTATTCATCTGGAAGTGAAACAAAAGGTTATTAAACAACATGAAGGGGGAAAATCAGTGAATGCTACTGCTCACGATTTAGGCATGTCACTCTCGACAATCACAGCAATCCTCAAAAACAAAACATTCTCCAAGCTGTTAAAGGATCAGCTCCACTGAAAGCTACCAGGCTAACGAAAACGCAAGAGGAATGTACATCAGATATGACATGGATTGAGGATCAAACACAAAAGTGAATCACTCTCGGCACACTGATGATCACTGCTAAGGCACTGCTAAGTGAAACCCTCTTAGCACACTGATGATCACTGCTTGTTCAAGAAACTTAAAGAAGAAAACCAAATTACAGTATCAAGTTTAGTGCTAGCTCTAGGTGGTTCAACGCTGTGCTTCAAATGTTTTTCACTGCATAATATGAAAGTCAGTGGTGATATAATATGGTTTTCACACAACACCCAAAGCACATAATGTCTTATTTCACAGATCATACTGTGGACGTTAAGCAATGCATGACTAGACTGAGTATCAAGGCTTAATTTTTACTGGCAGTATGGGACTAAAATCACGGACTCTAAGACAAGTGGAAGAATACACAGCACTGCGAAAAACTCAGTTTTGACCATATACCCAAATACTGGATCAACTTTGAGATATTCATTTAGATTATAATAATATAATTTACAACAATCATGAAGATTATCATAGACTCATTCTAGACTTTCTTAGATTGTTCCTATAGGCCATAAGTAATTAGGTCTCTTCCAGAAGCATTTCAGTCTTTATAGAAGTTAAAAACCTCCCTCTCTTCCCAGTAGTCTAAGGGTAAAAAATTCATTTCATTAAACCAACAAATATATCAAAAGTCCAATACGTACTGAGTCCTATGGTGTAGAAAAAACAAAAAAGGGAAATATATTTTTAGACAAATAATGTGTGCCTTCTACGTTTATTTGCCAACCACATCCTCTTCCTGCGAGGTATTTTCCCAAGCACTGCTATGCCAGTATTTTTTTTATGTTGCTGTATTTAAAAAAAAAAAAAAATTAGGATAGTGTGTTTACGAAAATACCTTGCCGGGGGAAGGCACAAGAAGCAAACAAATGTAAAGGCATGTGTTATTTGTGTAAAAATATGGCACCCCCTATCCTCTAAAATGCATTCAATCTATAGAAAATAAATAGACAATGAATACAAATACATAATCAGTAAACGTATACCCAAGCACTAAGAAAAATAATTTCGGTGCTCGTGCTCTGATATTATCTAAGAAATTAACGTAACAATGACGTACATAACCCACTTTCACTGGTCCCTCTTTGGAGCACCGTCCTGATATAGGATGATGCTGCCCAATTCAAACATTAGCTTCAAAAACAAAAAAAAAAAAACCTGTTGCCACTGAGTCGATTCCAACTCATAGCGACCCTACAGATCAGAGCAGAACTGCCCCACAGGGTTTCCAACGAGCACCTGGTGGATATGAACTGCCAACTCTTTGATTAGCAGCCGAACTTTTAACCACTACGCCACCAGGGTTTCCGAATAGTATCTATTCACAATAAATATAGTCTGTTAATCTTCGGTGTTTCTCTAAGCATTTAGGTTTTTGACAATTCCTGGCATAAGAAGTGGGATCCATAGTGGCTGACCGACATCCCCCGGAGCTCTTGCTGGACACAGGAGTGGCATCTGCAAGAGCTGTTCCGGCCTACTGTCTCCACGGAGCATGTGGATGCTGTCTTAAGTAAGCCCTCATGGATTCTAGAGCTCTGCTCCTTTTGAGCTTGAATCCAGTATTTATTGTGAGTTTGGTAAATTGGTTGAAGTGCTTAGAACTGTCTCAAAATGAGGTAGGCCAAATCTAATAAAGTGGTGGATTTTCCTAGTGGAACTCTAGCTAGCTACCTGGCCAAGAACTATGGGTCTAGATCTTGTTTGTATTTGGATTTTTGTTTGAGCTTCCTAATGACAGCTTGTCAAATCAGTAGCCACTTTGGGGTACTTTCCAATTAGAGAGACTAGTATATTTAAGGTCTAAATTGGAAAACAATGGTGTCAAAACCAAATAAGACAATGGGATGTTTATTTTGATTGATAATCTGCAAGGATGTTTATTTTGACTGGTATTCTGCAGCTTCAACACACGTTCAGTATTTTAAAATATGCTTTCTGAAAGACATTGTTTCAAAAAAATACTCATTGTAACTTGTAAGAGTCTGGGTCTCTAGCCAGCAGAATGAACCAGGTTCAGAAACAATGAAACTAGGTATCATATGGTTGTTACAAAAAAATCCCAGAGTTTTTTAAGCTGCAAAAATGTGTGGGCACAAGCTGGAGCACTTTTAAAGGCCTCTAGGACACTTGCCACCAACAGAAAGACATCTGTGTAAAGATAAGCTGAGACATGAGATGGGCCACAGCACTAGACTATCCACCAATCACAAGAAAACTCTCACACAACGGAGGCACACTGTAAAACAAAACACTGACCAAACCCCACAGCTGACTCCCTGCTAGGAATTTTATTTTACTCTGAGAAACCAAAGTTTCAACCTAAGGGAATAGGATCCTTGCCACCTAAGAGAAGTGAGCCTGGAGCTCCCCACCAGTGGGATACTGGTTTGGGGTTCATGTTCAAAAATACTATAAGTTGGATATACTAGGAGGAATTTGGAATTTCAGTGAACACTTTGGGAAAATAAATTCCCATCTGCTCTTTTTCCTTAAACTTTGGGAAAATGAGTTCCCACTTGCACTGTCTTTTCTTTCCTCTTTGAGGAACTTCAGTTTGGTGCTCAGGTTTTGTCAAAGGGTCTGAGATCCCTCTATCTGGTAAGTTAGTAAGTTTTATCTAGCACTTGTTTTTCTGTTGAATTGAGTCGATCTTACCGAAGAATTTCTGTAGACAGTTTTAAGAAACTCTGTTCCCCATTTGCGTTGTCTTAAGAATATGACGCTGGCCTCACAGATCAGTGAGTTTATGTAGTCTTTCTGTCTCGCTTTATTCTGAGAGCTTGACTGTAATCTAGAAAGAGTCTTGTGTCTGTGTTTCTGTCTTGCCTTATTAGGCCACGGCTGGCAGATGCTGGTTTTTCACAAGGCTGTCTTAAAAAGGAGTGTTATGGATTGAACTGTGTCCCCCAAAATGTGTAACAACTTGGCTAGGTCACGATTCCCAGTATTGTGTGGTTGTCCTCCATTTTGTGATCTAATGTAATTACCTATGTGTTGTAAATCCTAACCTCTATGATGTTAATGAGCTAAGATTAGAGGCAGTTATGTTAATGAGGCAGGACACAAGCTACAAGATTAGGTTGTATCTTAAGTCACTCTCTTTTGAGATGTAAGAGTGAAGCAAGCAGAGAGGAGAAGGACCTCATTGCCACCAAGCAAGAAGAGCCAGGAATGGAACATGTCCATTTAACTCAGGTCCCTGTGCTGATAAGCTCCTAGACCCAGGGGAAGATTACTGATAAGGACTTACCCCTAGAGCCAACAGAGAGAGAAAGCCTTCCCCTAGAGCTGGTGCCCTGAATTCAGACTTCTAGCCCCCTAAAGTGTGAGAGAATTTCTGTTTGTTAAAGCCATCCACTTCTATTATTTCTGTTATAGCAGTACTAGATTACTAAGGACAAATTATTCTAAATTGCTTCTCTAAAGGATTCTTAAAAGCATGCAAAAGATACGGTTATGAAAATGGCATATTTTCCTACTTCCGGATGGTATTATTAGATTATAATATTCTTTCAAAGAACTTTATTCTGATTGGTTTAGTGATAAATAAGCACTTATA